GGGGGAGACTCCGAGCGGCAGCGGCGCTCTCAAGCCTGGGAGGGAGGGGGAGCAGCGGTGCGTGAAACAACTGTTTCGCGCGCCGCGGCCGCTCGGGATCTCCCCCTCCCTCCCAGGCAGCAGCAGCGGAGGTGAGCTAGGGCGGCCCGCGGCACATTTTTAGGGGCGGCATTCTGGCGCCGGCCATGCCGCCCCTAAAAATGTGCCGCCCCAAGCACCAGCTTGTTTGGCTGGTGCCTAGAGCCGGCCCTGTGTGCAGGAGCATTCACTCCCGGGGCTGATTTGGCGATGGAACTACTGCCACCCTCCCTCTAAGGGTTATGCCAAGAAGGGCTCCATTAATTTACAGCCAGGGCCCAATATAACCCTACCAGTTGTAGCTACAGTTCATCTCATTGCAAGGAGGTATTTCCTAGCTAGCTAGCCAACTTTCTGAATTGCACTGGCCCATTCTCAACACTAGAGACATGGAGGGCAGACTTCCCGTTTAGTTTTCACTAGCAGACGTGAGGGAATTAATCAAGCCCTTTAATCTCTTTATTCCTAATACAAACACAACAGGAAATTCATTCCCTGTGGCCCAAAGTGGGCTGAGGTAGGCCACCCATCATAATGTGCTAGTTGCACAAATTATTCAGCCAAAACTGCAATAGTTAAAGCTTAGGTATGCAATATTCTGAAGTAAATGAAGATACATCTAGTCATGCTAACTGAGGTTCTGGCCTTTGATTTAAAATGGTCATGCTATGAAATCACAGCTGAAGCTTGATTATCCCCACTGCTTGGAAACCCCCAGTTCAGTTTGCCTATAGGGACATTCTGGAGATCAACAGTCTTCATCCGTTGGGAGCCTTTGGGTGCTGAAGCTCCTGATCTCTGCAAGAGCCTAGCTTCAGCTCCGCAGAGCTTAGAAACTTCACTAAATAAAGTCTGCAGCCTCCTGTTCTATTGATAACATTCAGGTAGTCTAGACTGGTAGCTATTTGGCGTTTGGTAAGTCAGGATTCTACTGTAACTCTTAAAACGTAAACCTTAATTTAGGTAGTAAATGCTACTATGGACAAATACTTTTTAACACCTACGTCTTCTGCAGCCCAGCAGAACTGTGGAAGATGCTAGGTATGGGCTATTCCCCGACTGTCTGCAGCTTCCAGAGGCAGTTCAAAGCTATAGCCTAGCCTATGCTAGGCATGCCCCCCCGCCCCCGGGCCTGCTGCCAGATCTTCTGCTTCCATGGCAGCAGTCAGAGGCAGTTTTCTTTGCTCCTTTCCTATCATTTGCCTCCCCACCTTTTTTCTCCCCGCCTCCTAGACCAGGGGTTTAGCAGCATGTGGCTGAATGCCTTCTGCAGTGCCTCCCTGCTGAGCTCCTCTGCCCCCTTTAAGAGATGGCAGAGCAGCCATGCAAGAACTGGGCTAAGCCTAAAAGGTGCTCCATCTGCAAGGTAGCTTTAACAGGCTCTACAGATGGCAAACTAGGTCCTGCCAGTTAGCCTTCCTCCTCTCACATTGCTAGGGCATGGAGCAATTCAGGACCACAAGGCTAAGACCCTAGCAGGACTCCTGGTCCCACCCTGCATCCTGAAATGGGTCCTAAGTGCTCTGGGGAGAGAATCAGTGCTCACAATCAGCCCTGCCCTTTCTCCCAGTTTGAATCAGAAAATGCTGGCAGTAAGTCCCCATCCCCCAACCTTGGGGAGTGGGAGCCTATAAGGGAGGATTCCGAGGGAGAATTTCTAGAAGGCTCAAGGCCCATGCAAAGCTAACCCCAAATACATGCACCCAGGGCATTGCTAAGCTGCCAGGCCTGCAAAACAAAAACTAAACAAAAAGGGTCAGAAAAAGTAAAAAACAAACAAAACCCTCTAAAAGGTATTTGTCCTTTGACTCAGCCCTCCTCCTTCTCCTCTTCTGTGGGAGGAGAGCAATTAACAACTGGTTTTGAGCAGGACACAGACAAAATTTAACAAAGGTTTTACTCCCTTCAAGAAGTTTGAAACCATATGTAAAAAAGGTTGTATCCATGAGCCAGATCCAACCCAATCAAGCCCTCAATGACAAATCTCAGACCAAATGTCTCCCTTCCAAATCCTAGCCTGAGCCAGTGATTCCCATACACGCATCCTTTGAGAAGGTAATCAGGGAGGAGTGGAAATTTCCTGCCAAGGGTAAACACATTAATGGGCATATTCTCAGATTCTACAAGCTGCAAGAGCAAAGAATGCAGAGACCAATATGTCTTTAGGGCTATACATAAGAAATCTCCCTAAAAACAGCATTTG